GATGGTCTGTTTATGCACTGGCAGGTCATTAGGGTCTCTAATTTGGGCACATGAGACATTTTGATTGCTTGCATCTGGGATTATCTTTCTTTTCTGACGATCCGAGAGCTTGGTTTTCCGTTTTTTTGTAAGTTCTAACGCCATATTTCGTTCCCAATCTCAAATATTTCAGCACGACATCCGCTGTCCTGCCAATTTCTCCCCCAATAGCCCTCGCTGAGAGCCCGGAACCGTGTAGCTGATCGATCCGGATTCTCTCTTCGGGATTCAGTGCCTTTTTCTGCCCATTCTGCGAAAATGAGCTTATTCCACAAATGAACCCCATAAAATGTGCAACGTGCCGAAGCGACGGAGCACACACACAACACACACACACATTCTCTTATTAGACGACCGGCGTCTGAATGCACGATGAAATGCGGAGGATATTGCACAAACCTCCACTTGTGTCGATAATTTGATAAAAACTAATGGATAATTAGTTTAATATTAATACGGCCGAATATTGAAAATTCTTGAGAAAAAAGTCTGAGTTTTGATTTTTGATCCCTCCTTGTGTTTGATACCGGAGGAACATTCGATCAATGTGACGCGGCTCCCAACGACATTTCAACTTCGTCGTCATTCAGTCGCGCGCGAAAGCGGTTGAAATCTAGTGTCGATAAATTGGTGTTACGGACTGTATGTCGCTGGCGTTCAGACTTCAGACTCTCCGACCGTGGATCGACTGAGTCTCTCCAAGGGAGAACCTTCGGTAGATCATTCTACGGTATCGGACGACGATTTCCTTCACCATTGAACCCGAGTTCTCATTGCGACCAACGCCTCATGTTCCTCCTCCGATAGGAATCGTAAAACTCAGTCCCGAGCTCTGCGAGACTTGGGGTTCCTTGGTGCCTACGAGCCAAACGACCACCATTCGCTTCGCGTCCGACTCATAGATTCACAATCATTAAGGTCAGACGATCGTTGACCACTAGCCACTCGGTCAGGGAATCGTTGGCGAGCTCGATCTGTCGATTGGGACGAGTTTGAATCTCTAAGATGTCTTTCTAAACCTCACGCTCAAAAAATCAAAGTCAAAAAATCTTCATGCAGCAATATCCACAGAACGAGCTCTCGGGTGGAATAGACTTTTGTCGGTCGCGTACGAGATGCGATTCTGCTAGCCTGACTGAATGCTGCCCGAACGACGCAGATCGATAACTCCTTGGTGTTGACGATCTTTGTCGACGAGATCTGCGCTATCCACCTTCTCCAGAGTTGAGGAACGAGGCGTTTCTCTTCCTTCGCCTGCCAGCTCGGTAGGCCGTAGTCCGAGGAATCCACTTCGGCATTCGCTCGGAGAGAATCGGGGGCTCGTGCGAGAACTCGAGCGAGATACTATGAGAGTTTCTACGGAGACCCCTACTTCGTTCCATGAGCTTCAATCGGCATCCGAGGCTGAGAGTTCGTAGACCTTTGTGGCACTTCCACTAATAGGGAGGTTCGGTGCCCAGCATTTTTATGTATCTACTCGCCAACGCGACTCTCTTGCTCGCGACTACAAACCCGTCGACCCGTCATTTACGCGGTGTCTTCATGATTCCGACGGCGGGTCCATGCAGAAGCTCGGACTTCCGGAAAAAAACTGTTGTCTAGCTACCGAGCGCATTCGACACGCTTCGCAGGCCCGTGCTAGACAGAGGGACCGAACAGATGAGGAACTCTTCGCCTCGAATGCTTTCTTCCGAGCTTCTCAGAATGAATCCAAATTCGAGAGCTCAGCGGACGGGATCGGTCCGGTGGCACAGGGAATGCGCACTATACATCCGCGGGAGGAATGGGGTTTGCCGCCGGCGCCATGAGCCAAATGCCACTGATTCGCTTTGCCCATGTGTCAGTCCTTGTCGTACACCGCGTCAGGACGAACCGCTTGCGGGCAGGGAGATTCCAATGATTTGCCATTACAGCGCACAGGTGACTCTCCCCACGATGCGTTCCTTCCGATTTTAAACTTCGAGGGTTGAATGCAGTCCATCGGCCGTGTCTGATGGCCACGAATTAATGCGACGCAAATTCGAAGCACCTTCGAACATCGATGAACGGTGTCCGAGCCATAAGCCAAATGCGAGAAGCACCCTTGTGGGACGAAGACTACGGCCTTTACCGTGCAGCCTAAGTTGAGGCATTTCGGGCATGTAACTTGCGGACGGATTCCCTTCCGGGAGCTTCTCGATTAGTTATGCTCTCATATTCCGGCTACAGATCGTGCTGAAGGGTTTCCGAGGAAGCAATCGTCGCTGCCATTGGGAGTGAGAGCTGCCCAATAGCAAGCGAACGCCGCGGCTTCAATGAAGCGTCGACTAAATTGGTAAATCAGCCGCTCAGGCAGATTCTATTTTCACTCAGTCAGTGGTGGCGAGCCGCGCGTCAATCGCGGAGAGAAAATGCGAAAGCTGCAGAGATCGATGACGGGCCGTTTCGGAGCGAGGCTCGAGAAATGGCTTAAAAGAATCATCTACGGTATTCCACCCCGCGAGAATCTCTTGGAAAACCTCCCTTCGTATTCTGCTTCCTTGGTTTTGAAACCTTCTCAGGGAGGCTTCGAGCGATTTGCGGCAGTAGCGGTTGCTAGCGGCAGCGTACTGACCACAGGTATGCAGGTAGGTGGATAGATTTGAAAGCCCGAGTCTCAAACGGATGCTCGAAGCGGATTTCGGGGAAGAAGAAACGGATTCGACGGGTAAACGGCTTTCTAGGGGATCGACGGCAAGGAAAAAGAACAGAGCTTCCGCGTACTCTAGTCGTGCACCTCTCAGACGGATGTACGGCGCCGCGCGATTCCGGCGAGTGGTTATGGATGGCGACGATGTGTGCTTTTACCGCGGTCATTGTGTTGTATTTCCGATCTCTATCGGTTTTATAACAGCAAACCTGTCCTAAAAGGTTCGTGGACAAATTTCCACTCTCCCAAACCGACGAGTCGCTTCACAGTATCGGATGATAGTGATCAGTAGAGATGACAGTCTGCGTCCGGCACCGACGCCTCGCTGTCCCGGCCATGGAGACCCTGGGAAAGCTCTGCGAGCAGCATGTGAAGAGCCTGAAAATTCGCAAAATGATGTCATAATCGCACCGCGTGAGCGTTCTCATCATCCAGCGCATGCGAATGAAGATCTTTGTTTTGAATTCTACATAGCTTCATGCTATGATATCATCGATACCTGAGGCGCTGAAGGAATCGATCGATAACAGAAGTACATATTTCGGGAATCTGACCCTTCTGCGTCGGCTCCACTGACGATGTCGGAGCGCCTGGAGCGACTCAGCAGCACTCTACGATGACGATTTCAATCATTGACCTATCACTGTTGTCTTCAATCCCAATCCACAAACCGAGATATTCGTGGTCGGTAATAAAGCTGTCAATCGCGAGGATAATCGTGGAAGTGACAATAGTTTTACGGCTATCAATAGCGGCAACCTATACAGAAGCTGTAAAACATCTGGGGCGGGAGTGATGCTTTCCTCAAGGAGACACCCCGATTTCGCCAACCGGCCGGCGCGCCGACTCCACGGAAAGATGGAAGAGGTCGACTTGCGGGGTGGTACATATAAATCGTCAGAGTGAGATATGAACCGGTTGATTTCGGTTTGAGGCGGTTTTACGACAGGTGCCGGCTATCGGGAGCTACGCATTGAGTCGGAATAGCTCCGGGAAGCCTACCGAACGACGTCGTAGTGCTCAAAGTATCAATTGTATAAGCCAGCAGAAGTACAGAAATTAACTCGTGCATAGATTCTTGACTGAGGCTGTATCATCTCTGAAAATCCGCGCACGTGTCAGCTGATTGAAGCTGTCAACGACGTCACGGCGTCCACGACTCAACGGCGACGGGTGCCGTGCAATCATCGATGAGCGTTTACAGCAGAGTAGAGGGTGCTTTACAACACTGTATAAATAGGGAGTACATCTCTGTTGGATCCAGGAACGTTCTCGTCTTGAGCCTCGCTCGCACTCCCTATCGAGGTGAATCTCACTCAGTCAGAAGATCTCTCAGAATGCTCAAGCTGCAAGCTAGTCCCGCCCTGGTGGCACTCTTCCAGACCGCCAATATCAATATTCTCGTCTTCGGACTGGTGAGTAGCGTCCTTAACCTACGAGTGTTCCTCATTTCATAGTCCTGTTCGGAGGTTGCGTGATCTCAGTATTCCTCTGGAAATTCCAGGGATGCATTTTCGGCTTGACTGGGGCGACTCTCATCGATCTGGGCGAGGTCTACAACACGCCCCCGAGGAACGTAGCGCTCATCATCACCACACGGGGGATCGGCTCCATCGTTTTCTGTCTCTTGGGTAAGTCTGTCGCGGAGTGCGAATCGATCCAAGACTTGCGGTTCCCGCAAGAAGCGAATTCCACTGACTGACTCAGTGGCTTCTTTCAGGTGGAGCAATCTTCAGGCATTTCAACATGCAGCACGTGGCTATTCTGTCGGCGCTGGCGATGGCGATCGGGATGGGAATGACTCCCCTGTGGGGCAAACTGAGTCTCTGTCACATTTCGACCTTCTTCGTGGGGGGTGGCGTGGGCCTCATCGAGACCGCGATGAACTTTTGGATATTCGCGATATGGAAAGAGAAGAGTGGACCTGTTTTCCAGTTCACAAATTTCTGCTTCGGAGTAGGAGGTGTCATTGCACCATTCGTGGCAGAACCCTTCCTCGACTCGGTCAAAAGCTCGTGAGTATCAGAGTCGGGGTTCGTTTCCGCATCGCCGTTTTTCCGTTCGGAGGATCGATTTGAAGAATCAAATTCCATTCCAGAGTCAATGTGACGCTGACCAACTCGTCCAATGCAGAGATCCTCCCACTCGACGCAGAGACGCGCGTCTTCGTGCCCTACCTGATAATCGGTGCGGTCTTCGCCGTTGCTGCGGTTCTCTGCATCGCTTCTTACCTCATGGACGGATCGAACATCTGTGTGAGCGAAACCGACGCCAATGATTCCTGTTGCTCTCGGCGCTGGCAGCTGCTCATGGTGGGAACCTTCAGCTTCTACGTCCTGACCATCGTAGGTCAAGAGCAGACGTACATTTCTATGCTGGCGCTGTTCGTTGTCCGCCACCTAAAGTTCAGCAAGCCCGACAGCGTTTACGTCTCAGCTGCTTTCTGGATCTTCTTCACGTCGACTCGTGTGGTCGCAACGGTCGTATCGTTCAGAATGCGACCTCGGAGCATGCTGATCATTTGCCACCTCCTGGTAGTTCTCGCAACGGGCGCGTTGTGCCTCTTCGTCGATTCAGCTACGGAAGTGGTTTGGATCTGCACCGCGATCGTTGGAACCGGAGTGTCTCCGATGTTTCCTTCGGCGCTTACTCACGTGCTTCAGTACGTCCATATCAATCAGAGCTATTCATCGTTCATCATGATGTGCGTTTGCGTGGGAGGTATGTTGCCCCCCATATTGGTGGGTCCCTTCATTGATGATAGACCCATCGCGTTCGTCTACGTCAACTCCATCATTGCGGTCTTTTCGGGGATCGCTCTCATAGGTCTGCTCGTCCTCCCACGAGGCAGGAGCATGAGACCCTCTATGATGAAGAAATAGGCTTTCATTCATGGAATGAGGAAAAACTCCGCCGCATGAGCCCTGCTCACAGAGCAGACAGTTCCGCAGTACATTTTCCAATCGGGGGGTATCGGGGGTCTTGATTCACTGTGAATCGGAACATTCTCAGCAAATATGTTTCTCATCCCGCAAAGTTATCCAGTGTAAAAAAATCGTTAGGTTTTCAATTTTGTAAATATATTTGTGAGTTATAAAGTAATTCTGCCGCTCACCTGCAAATCGACTCTTATTGGCTTCTGCTTCTGGGACAGTCGTCGAACGACTCCTATACTAATATCACACTCTCGACCAACGCCGTCCGGCCGAGGGATTTTCTCAGTCGAGAATTATTGAGCTACGCAATAGCACTTCCGAACGGGTCGCGGCCCCTCCTGGGGATCCGCATTCCTGAGCTCGTGTCGACACGAGGCGGAGCCTCTGTGTCCTTGAGTGGTTGATGACTTTGCATTGCATTTCCTCGATCTGTAACTTGAGGATAGAGAAGTGAAGCTCGTATTGTGGGATGATATCTTCCCCCCCCCCCTTCCCGACTCATGTCACGATGAAGTCACGGCCGGCGGACCAGGCTTCGCCGGAGGGCGGAGGGCATGCAGAATCCACCAATCTCCAATAATCCGGTAGTGCGCAGACGGGGAATAGATGGAAAGTCTGCTCGATAAGAACGGATATGGCCGCTTCTCTTAGCCAATCATAGTATATCACATCGCTTTCACTTGAAGCCCCACACTCAGCGTTTCATTATGTCCGGAATGTGCTGTCCTCCTGAATTTTATGAGACAAACCGACGAATGTTGGCGGAAATCAAAATGTGCCTCCGACATTATAAACGAGGTGTCGCGTTTCTCGTCGTGAGGTGCTGCGTTCCACACCTCGAGCATCGGACACATCATCCAATGCAGAGCTAATGCCTTCTTCCGCGCTTATTATTAGTTATTCACTTAGGTAAGCATTCTCCATATTTCTCTCATCTATGCTCCTATCCCCTATGATCCTGTTCTTTATGTTGTTTTCGTTGTCTTCTTTGTTTTTCTCGCCATTTTTCTCCGTCGCCGGGTGCTTTCTCTTCTTCCGGATCGAGAAAGAAGTTTGTCTCCTTCATCATGAAATGGCGTCTCGTGGCAGAAAGTCCTCTTCAATGGCCAAGCTCGAAAGGAAAGTACGTGCAGGTGAGAACGGGCCCAGAGACTTCGGCGACTGCCGGTGCCATTGCGTAGCTCGTCTACCAAGGAAGGCGCGTGAAATGATCCACGCGTACTACCGTTCGCTTTCAACCGGGGAACAAACCGTCTTTCTGCGAGGAGCAGGTAAACCCAAAGAAGCCAAAAGAAGAAGTGGTAAGGGAGACAGCTGCCAACGCAGCGTCTTTCAATACGAGGTTGAAGCCGATGGATTGAGGTACGAGATTTGCCAACGAGCCTTCCTCGCCGTGCTTGATATCAAACGGTCGAAACTTCGAGCCTAAGTTACGAGCGCCGAAGGACGGCGGGGATTGGTCGAGGATATGAGGGGTAAACATTTCAATCGACCACACCGAAACTCTCCGGTATTGATTCAGAAGATCGTTGATCGGGTGACCGCTCTGCCCAGTCGGGAGAATCACTATTCAAGGCGAAATCAACAAGTTCGCAAATACTTGAATCCTGACCTCATCATGGCGAAACTCCATCGGATGTTCTCGTGAGAAGTTCTCCGAGGAATTCTTGAGTTACAACAATTTCCGGAAGGTAGTGGTCGAGAACTGCAAAGTCTACTTCGGATCGGTGCGCAGTGATATCTGCGAACGCTGCGAAAAGCTGCACGTTAGCTTAGCTGCGGCCAGAAGGAAAAATGACACCTCGGTCATACAAGAGCTGGAGAGCGAAAAAGATATTCACCGATGCACAATGTTTCTATGATGCTCTTGCGAGCTACAAAGGGACATTGGACCCGAGCACCCTTGCCATCTGCATGGACTTTGAAAAGAACTTGCCACTCCCGGTGACAATTGCCGGCCCGAAATTCTATAAACGTCGATTGTGGCTCCACAACTTTGGGGTAATCAATGTACAGACGCAGGACGCTTCGATGTACCTCTACAGCGAGCATTTCGCAGGTAAAGGGCCGAACGAGTTAAAAACGATGCTCGACCACTACCTCCAGACCCACACCTCCTCTGAGTACCAAAAGTTGCACATCTTCCGTGACAACTGTTTTAGTCAAAACAAGAACCATTTCTTGTTCGTGCACCTGGATAGTTTGTGTGCCATGGGTCGTTTCGAGAAAATTTTGATAACCTTTCCGATCCCAGGGCATTCTTTCTTGCCTATCGACGCTGCCTTTGCGCAGATTGAGAAGAAACGATTAAAGGTGGAGAAGATATCCTGCATTGAAGATTGGCTCCAGATCATAAAGGATGCGCGCGTCGCCAAACCATATAGATAGAAGATGTTCTTCACCACAAGATGCCTCAGTCGCTGGGACCGGGAAACATTTCGGCAGTCTAGTGGCATCTTGTCAGGCTACTATTCCCGGCAGATACCAAATGCAGATATCGCGATTCCGAGCGTTCCATCTTTGCGTTTCCTGGGAGATTTCATGACTAAAGAGGTACATTCGACGCTCATGGAGGTATCATGCCCATGCAATCAGTATGGCGTTTACAGCTGGGAGAAGGGTTTTACAGCTGCTTATATATATTTAGTCCATTCGATTCGGAGTCAGACACTCCGTCGTCGTGAGCTCAGCTCGAACTTGACATCTTTGCGAGCCGCAGTTCAAGATGCTCAAACTTCGAGCGAGCCCAGCTCTCGTGGCGATCTTTCAAACCGTGAACCTGAATCTGCTAGTATTCGGGCTGGTGAGTTGTAAGATACCCGGCGAGAAACTAAACCTCCGGAAAGAACGAGAGCATCAGTGCGAGATTTCAGTCGCTCCTATGGAGCGGTAGAAACCTTGGCTAGGAGTTTGCAAGGGCGAGAACTTCATGCTCCGTCTTTCTTCCCCAGGGATGCATCTTTGGTTTGACTGGAGCAACGCTCATCGATCTCGGGCATGTGTACTCCACTTCCTCGAAAACCGTTTCCTTCATCATCACCAGCCGGGGACTCGGATCAATCGCATTCTGCCTCTTAGGTCTGTGAGGTTTCTGCTCTTGATTTGAGCTACATATGTATGTACAGAGCGACTCGCGGTAATCTCGATGGGCTGACGCGAATTTACGTTTCAGGCGGAACAATCTACCATTACTTCAACATGCAACTCGTCATGATAGTGTCTCTGATTGTGCTAGCGATCGGATTGGGATTGACTCCCCTATTGGGAAGTCTGACCACTTGCCACATTTTCACTTTCTTCGTCGGGGGCGGCATAGGACTTGTTGAGTCGGCGATAAACTTCTGGATTTTCGCTATATGGAAGGAGAGGAGTGGTCCCATCTTCCAGTTCCTCAATTTTTGCTTCGGTTTCGGGGGCGTCGTTGCGCCTTTCTTGGCGGCACCTTTCCTGACGACCGTCGAAATCCCGTGAGTGCCATAAAATGGCTATGCTATCAAATTGCCTCATGACATGGCTTCGTGAAATTCACGGTGTTCAATGATGATCTTGATATTGTCTCCTCTGTGAGGATCTCTGATGTTTGCTCATTATTACAGCGTCAATGTCACCTTGAGTGAGCTCTCCGATATGGCCGTACCATCCATGGTGGGAGAAACCAAAGTCTTCGTACCCTACCTCATTATCGGAGGAGTTTTCGCCGGTATCGCGGCTCTCTTCATCGCCTCTTTCTTAATGGACAAATCGAACATCGGTGTCAGCGACAGCGACGCCAACGATTCCACTTGCTCTCGACAGTGGCAATTGCTGATGATCGCGACCTTCTGCCTATACGTCTTGACCATCGTGAGTCAAGAGCAGACTTACGTTTCCATGCTGGCGCTGTTCGTCGTTCAACACCTCGACTTCAGCAAATCCAACAGTGTCTACATCTCGGCGGCTTTCTGGATCTTCTTCACGTCGAGTCGGGTTATCGCAACGATCGTCTCTTTGAAAATGAGTCCTCGAAGTATGCTAGTGACTTGTCACTTGCTCGTGTTCCTGGCGACCGGCGTCCTGTGCCTCCTGGTCGACTCGGCTTCGCAAGTGGTTTGGATTTGTACCGCGATCGTTGGTTTTGGAGTGTCCCCGATGTTCCCGTCGGCGTTGACTCACGTGCTCCAGTACGTTCATCTCAATCAGAGCCATTCAGCGTTGATCATGATGTGCGTTTGTATTGGGGGTATGGTGCCCCCTATACTGGTGGGTCCCTTCATCGACGACAGGCCGATTGCGTTCGTTTATGTGAACTTCGCAATCGCTCTTTTCTCGGCGACCGCCCTCGTGGTGTTGCTGATTCTTCCGCGAGGGAAAAAGGTTCGGCCCTCCATGGTGAAGAATGATGTGTCCGTAGATGAAACTAAGAACGAATTCGTTTCGTGAATGTGGGCTCACTCAGCGACTATTCAGTACGGTTCCTACCGCAAAAGTGTACAGCAATCAGCTTATTGTGAAGATCGAGCATCTGCTCTGGATATCTTGGGCGCCTGAATCAGACCGGGAGCAGCTAACGAAATCCTATAGGCTAATCAAATGCGATCAATAATGACGTCACGGCGTCCACGACTCAACGGCGACGGGTGCCGTGCAATCATCGTTGAGCGTTTACAGCATAGTAGAGGGTGCTTTACAGCACTGTTTAGATAGGGAGTACATCCCTCTCGGATCCAGAAACGTTCCCATCGTGAGCCTCGCTCGCACTTCCTATCGAGGTGCATCTCACTCAGTCGGAAGATCTCTCAAGATGCTCAAGCTTCAAGCTAGTCCCGCCCTAGTGGCACTCTACCAGACCGCCAATATCAATGTTCTCGTCTTCGGACTGGTGAGTAGCGTCCTGAGCCTACGGGTACGCCTTACGAGGGAGCCTGGCTTTTCTGGTACATCCCTTCCTCGTTCTGTATCCATTCTCCACCGAATAGACTTTGTTCTCATTTCATAGTCCTGTTCGGGCCTCCGAACACTCGCGATCACTGACGGACTCTCTGTTCCTACCGCTTCTGTCCTCACAATCGGAGCCCGGGTTTTCGCCCAAGCCTGATGCTCAGGCTTTTACTAAAATATTAGGGCTGCAGAAGCGTTTTAACGGGTGAGGATATGGGGATCAGGGCGGAATTTCCACACCTAAGTACGATTTCGAGCGATTACGAATAAAGATGTCGATCGAATGCCCATCATGAGGCCGAAGACTCGTAGTTGACAGCAACGGAAGCGTCGCGCAGAAAGGGGGGAGTCTTCTCGAAAGAAACCCCGAACCTCCTCAGAGGGATTCGCGTCATGTCGGGCGCGGCTACGTTACGCACCAGAATCGAGTCATACGGGGACGGATCATGTCGAGTCAGAGGCGAAAGCCAGAAAGTAACGTAATGTCATTCGATCCAGAGGTATAAGAGACGGACCTCGTCGAGGTCACTGATTTCACACGAGGTGCAGAGTACGAAATTGGATGGTCTCGAGTGACTGGCCGTTTCAAGCAAATCTTTATAGAGAATGAATTTGACCATATATGCGACGTCTGTGATCGCCCCTGGTTCCTCCGTGATCTGAAAACGGTGACCTCCTCGATGGCGACTCCCCCACCATTCCCGGAGGACAATACCTTGCGATTTCGGCTCTATTCCTCATGTTACAGCACATCTCGGCGCGATGAAGTACCGCCGATGTGCATGACGAATGGCTATAGGTATCCACCCAAGCCATCGGGCTAGCCTGAGCTAGACCCCATAAGCGAGCGACTTGTCTCCCCAAGAATTCCTTACATGCAAATACGCCGTTTGCGTCAAGACGGTTGTCACGATATTGTCGGTCAAGTCATTAATGTCCCAGTTGATGTCAACACGATGGTACAGACTTTACCGCGATCATTGGACGACGATCACTCTTTCAACTACAATTTGGAAAAAAAGCATTATCCATAAATCCTCTTATCTGAGCGGCTTCGTGAAAAAGTCTACCGTGAAAGCCTAACTGGTGAGATATCAAGTGAAATCACCGATGAATGGATTAAAGTGCATGCATTGATGCCACTCCAATAATGATATGTAGATTAGATAATCCAAAGGGATAGATAATAATATCTAGAGCAGAGAGAGACAGAAGACGTTTTCACGTCCTATAACACGGTAGTGTCGTAGGCGCTACTAGCCTTGGCTTTTTTTGCTGACATTCGGACCGGAATGATTGTTTCCCCAGGAATCATTCGAAAAAGAAAAATACTATAAGCTTCCGGGCTATTAATGAGTTTTTTCAGGTTAATATGAGGAGCCGGATTCTCGAATTCGTCCAAGATTTGTGGAACCTTCAGAAGCTGAGTAGAAGACTGATGAGCTCCCCGCAGAAAGCTCTACCAAAGTGGAAGGATAGGCCTACGGGCTTATTGGACAAGGGATGAGTCCATTGCCGTCCTCCGTATGATAGCAGAAACCAGAAGCACTTTGTTCACGTCGAATTGAATCGTAGTCTTTGTGAGCCGAAAGGCTGCATTGAGCGTGGCATCCGAAATAGTCGCGTTTTCCCGTGGAGAGACGAGTGTAACAACATATCCAGTCCTAGTCATGGATGAAGCTTCTGCATCGACGTCCTCCTCGGAAGAAAGTATTATGTACCTACAGGCTCAATCTTCACCTACGAGCGAACCGGACTTCTGGATTTCCGACAAGCGGCTTATGTTTATGTTGTTCTTCCGTCCCACTCGAAAACTCATTTACACGGTGTCATTTTCCCCACTCGGGCCCCGGAAATGTTGAGATTCCAGCAGTCTATCATGTAGCGTAGATTTTGAAACAAGAGAATTCGAAGTTCTGAATCAACCTAGACGAGTCTTGAGAATGAAAGTCGCGAAGAAACGGAAAGCGTCCCCGCCTCGCGACCTGCCAGACACGGAACTCTTTACAGAACTCGACGGTTCGTACAATTCGGTACACGTCAAGTGGGCCCCAGCGACAAGTGGGCTCCGGCGACAACTGGGCTCCGGCGACAACTGGCCCGGCGACAACTGGGCCCCGGCGACCACTGGGCCCTGGCGACAATTGCGTTTGTTCAAGAGGTTGAGAGCTCCCGAACGAAGTCAGCATCTCTAAAACCTCAGGTCAAATGAGGTCTATGTAGAATGAGTCGATGAGATGAATGGTAGGAAAAACACTATTAGCGAGCAATGAAGATTTTTATTCTTTTGATACGACGGTGAATGCGGTCATGAGTAATAATCGAGAATTACGGATTCATCTGGTAAGTGTGAGCGATCCCACGCAACGGACAGCAACGGTCAACAACGGTCAACGGTCATATCAACGGTCGATAAACCGAATCTCGAAGAATCGTTTCTCTCGACAAAGCTGGACTTTTAAAGAAAGGTTCATTCAGAGTCGAATGAATGGAGTCACGCAAAGAAAATTGCGTTCGACAAATTCAGACCTCTCGAACAAGCTGGCGAAGCTCACGGAAAATGGCATCGAACGTAGTTTCGCAACGCAATAGAGCCAAACTCACTCACGAATTCCTGCTCGGCGACTCTGGACCGGACGATCCCGAGAGAATTCTGATCTTCGGAAGGTCGAGCACGGCCTCTTGGATTGGGGAAGTCTCTAAGATTTACGTTGATGGGACTTTTAGCTTGGCCCCTGACCTTTTCTCCCAAATATTCCTCATTCTCGCGGAGCGTCCGGAAACTGTGACTCTATCTGCTACGTTCTGATGTCGAATAAGTCCGAAGAAAGCTACTGCAAGGTAAATCATTCCTTCCTGATCCGGGAATCATAGAGAAGTTACCGATGTGATAGTCCAGCCTGTCTCAGCGTCTGTATATTTATAGTATCATCCATCCATACACCTCTAATAAAGCGCTTAGCTTGCGCAGTTTGTCCGCCTTTTTTCTCACTGATCCCTCCGAAAGGAAAGCGACAGATTCCCCGATACACACTGATGGGGAGGTCACATTTGCCGCGCGTTTCCGCCTTCTAAGGAGTATTCCACAGGCTTCGAATGACGGACATACTTGACCGCGTAGCTTCGTAATGCGGTCTCGGATCGCTCACCTCTAATCTCTCATCTCTCATGCGGAGATGTGCTGCGAAAAGCCAGATATTATCCCGCCGATCAGATTTCGTTCTTCGATATCCACTCGCATTGCATATCATATCCTCATGTCGATGACTTTTACTGACAACATCCCTATCTCATTACTCATGACACTCATGACAATGAAGCCTGCTCATTGAAGAATTGCTGTTGTATGATATACGTCTGTAGAGCGCTCCTGCGCAACGTTGAATACGAACCATCTTCTCCCGATGGACCCAGTTGCCAAACGCACGAGATCGGCAACTAAGGCTGCTACTCAGATTGCCGAACATGTTTCGGGTTCTCTGCTTCATGATGAGGGCACGTCAACTCTCCAAACTCCTGATCCTCCACGCAAATGTCCGAAGAGAAGAACCGAGGAAACCTCATACACACGGCTCACTAAGAGGGGGGAAATTCTGACGCTGATTATGAACCTCAAGAGGAGATGACCCGTCGACGATCTTCGAGCCGGGCACTGCGGAGATCCAAAGAGACATCGGCGCAGCGTTCACAACGACTAGAAGCTCAAGCTGCACGGCAGGCAAAGCTCAGATCTACGTCTCGCGCACGAAGCGAAACCGGTCTCTCTGACGGCTTCGATGTTACTACCCTATCCGAGCGCGGACAAAGTGAAAGTTGTCTAAGGTGAGTCGATGAACGAAAACCTTCGCAGGATTCTGCACACGGACGTCTACAGAAAAACTTCCACGATTCGATCAGGAACTACAATTCCTCGCTCGCTATGGCTTCCATGGGCGCTCAAATTGAAGTCCCAAAGGGTATCGGTCCATATTGTTTCCGTATACATGGCCAAATATATCATAATAATATCGGGCCTCTCCATCCAGGAGACGAGGCTCCAAGGCTTTACGGTCAGCTTTACATACTAGATACTGCGGAAGCTGCAGCTCAGAGACTCCGGCAACCTCAAAACTCCAAATGTGATCTCTCTCTAACGCAGCACTTAAGTCGGTTGATTGCTGAGACGAGTCCGTACGCGCGT